TTGTTACCGTCACTGGGTCAGTCCATTTATCCTGTGCCATCCTCACTGGCTCTGATACACAGGAGCCCATTGTTACCGTCACTGGGTCAGTCCATTTTCTTGAGGGTCTTCCTCCCTTTCACTGACTCTCCTTCTTTCTAAGCATAATGTCCTTCTCCAAGGACCGGCCCCTCATTCAGACATGCTCAGAGTATGTGAGGTGGAGTTTCACCATCCTTGCCTTCAAGGAGCACCCTGGTTGCACTTCTTCTAGGATAGACCTGTTTGTTCTCTTGGAAGCCTATGGGACATTCCGTGCTCTTCTCCAACACCACAGTTCAACAGTATCAATTCTTCTGTCATCCTTAGTCTTTGTCCAACTTTAATTGAAAAGACCGTGGCTTGTATTAGGTGTACCTGAGTCTTTAAACTGACATCATTGCTCTTTAGTACTCTAAAGAGACCCTTGACAACAGATGTGCCCAATTCAATCTGTCTTAATTTATTGACTGCTGGTTTCAGGGGTGTTGATTGTGAATTCAAGTAAGATAAAATAGTGCACACCTTGTGTCTTTTCTCCATCTACATGGTGTGTCTTTTCTCTGTCTTCCCTGGTGGTGAGGACTTTGTTGAGATACAGTCCATATTGAAAGCTGTAGTTCTTTATCTTCTGCTGCAAGTACTTAAAGACAGCCTCATTTTCAGCAAAGGACTGTACTCTTCAAGATGGATTCAAGCTCAACATCAAGAAGACAAAGATTCTCACCATGGGCCCAAGTGGCAGCACCTTGATAGATGGAGAAGAGATTGAGGTTGTTAACAATTACAGCTTGCTCAGCTCCACAATCAATACTCTTGGCACCAGCAGTCAGGAAATAAAAAAACTAGTTGATCTGGGCAAGGCTGCAGTCAGGGACCTTTGCAGAGTACCGAAAAGCAACAGTGTCAGTGTAAAGACTAAGGTGGGCCTGATCCAGGCCATGGTCTTCACATTTACTTTCTATGCGTCAGAGAGCCGGACAATGACTAACGATGACAGAAGAAGAATTAATGCCTTTGAGATCTAGTGCTGGAGAAGAGTTTTGAATATACCATAGACCACCAAGAAAACAAATAGATCTGTTTTGGAGAGGGTGAAATCATGTTTCTCCTTGGAGGCTAGGATTTTGAAGCTCCATCTCACATACTTGGGCACATGGCCAGTAGAGACCAGTCAATGGAGAAGGACATCATGCCCGGAAGGGTGGAGAGACAGCACAGGAGAGAAAGACCTTGGATGAAATGAATTGAGACAGTAACTGGGCTAATGGGAGTGTATGTGTCAGAGTCAGTGAAACTGGCTCAGGACAGGGCAGGCTTCAGAGCAGTTGTACATAGGGTCGCAATGAGTCACAGGTGACTTGACAGCACATAACAACAACAAAACATAATTCAAGTTATTGATGAGTCTTTCTCCAATCATGATGCCACATTCTTTTTCATAAAGTCTAGCGTCTCAAATGATCTGTTCATACCGATTGAATAGGTATGAAGAAAGGACACATCCCTGATATACACCTTGCTTGATTTTTTTTTAACTTTTTTTAAAATTTTTATTTTATTTTTTTTGTGTGTGTGTACCGTCAAATCAGATCTGACTGGTACAGGAGGAGATTGTCCCTCCTTACCCGGCAGAGCATCTGGTGGATTCGAACCGTGCACCTCTGGGATTGTAGTTGCAGCTCCTTGCCACTAGGCCACCAGAGCTCCCCACCTTGCTTGATTTTGAACCATGCAGTTCTCCCTTACTCTGTTTTGAAAACAGCTTCTTGGTTTAAGTATAGGTTTTGCATGAGCTCAATGTTAGTTATACTTGTTGTGATCCACGTAGTGAAATGGTTTTGTTGCATTTCTTTTAGCTACATTGAAAGAACTGACAAAAACTAAGACCCAAGGCATTGATAGAATACCCAACTGCATATTCCAATAAACAGATGTAGTCCTGGGTGTGCTCACCAGGTCATGTCCCGAAATTTGTAGGACAGGTGCCTGACAAACTGACGGGAAGAGATGCATATTTGTTCTCATTCCCCCAAAAAGATGATCCGAAAGTGGAGATTACTGAACGATATCATTAATATCACATGCAAGTAAATTCTTGTTAAAGATCGTTAAAAAATTGGCTAGGATAATACATCTACAGGGAACTCAAGCTGGATTCAGACGAGGCCATGGAACAAGGTATTTCATAACAAGATAGCTCATGTCGGATGGATCCGGGCAGAAGCAGAGGGTACCAGAAGGGTATCTTTGGGTTTTCTTGATTAAATGGTAAGTCCACAAAGGATAAAGACTTATCATAGCCATTGATAATGGAGAATGTGCAGAGGAGAACGATTGGAAACCACCTGGAGATTTTTCAGTAGAGATTCAGGTCAGCCGGTGAGAATCCTCAAGAAAGCCGAGCAGTCCAGGAAGATCACCAGCCTTGGAGCCTTCCCTGGAGGTGGTTATGCAGCAGCCCAGGGTCCCAGCAGTGGCTGGGTTGGTTTTGGAAGTTAGACCC